CTGCGTCCACATGCAGTCGTGTGTTTGACAAACCCATTTGGTGGCACGTGTCCGTGCGGCAGAGGTACCTGATTGAGCTCCTCATCGTTGGCCACGGCCAGCAGGATGTGTCTCGGGGCTATCCGGGCCTTCTTGTTGTCCCTCGCGGCATTGCCAGCTAATTCTAGAATCTCCGCTGAAAGGACAAGGGGGAGTTAATAGGCAAACACAGAATGGGGTCTGAGCTCCCTGAAGCTTTTCCTTGGGAATGGTCTTTGAGTTTGATCACATTGAATCACTTGTGATTTTTAAGTCTGGGCCTGGAAAGAAATCCAGAAAGCTGAAAGGAATTCAGGTCTTAGACAAGTAAGATATGTTAGCAAGACCTGACCTATGATCCTGGAACAAAGTCTTCTAGTTGTCCCTTGACATTAATTCCTCCCCATCCTCCTTGGTATATGGATCTGATTTTTTTTTTTTTTTTTTTTTTTTTTTTGCTGAGCCCATATCCATGGGAAGGAATGAAGACAGTTTTCCCCAACACCCACCTTGTTGATACAGGTGGTCATGTGACTAAGCTCTGGCCAGTGAAAGGCAAGCAGTCGTGTTGTATGATACCCCTTCTTTTCTATTGCTGGACTGAGGACGTGATGGCTGGGATTTGACCAAGAAGAAGCCGTGGATGTGGAGTAACAAGACAGAAGGAGCTGAGGTATCTCATGGCTGTGGGGCTTCCTTACCAACCTGGACAATGTTCTGTAGCAGTGATGGCGAACTTATGACACATGTGTCAGAGGTGACACGCGAACTCATTGTTTTGGTTGATTTTTCTTTGTTAAATGGCATTTAAATATATAAAATAAATATCAAAAATATGTCTTCGTTTTACTATGGTTGCAAATATCAAAAAATTTCTATATGTGACCTGGCTCCAGAGTTAAGTTAGGGTTTTTCAAAATGCTGACACGCTGAGCTCAAAAGGTTCGCCATCACTGTTCTATAGACTTCTTTTATGAGAGAGAAATAAACTCTTGTTTAAACCCTAGCATGGGGCATCTCCGAAGAGAACAGTGATGTAGGTGAAGTCTGTCTCTGGTACCCAGTGGGACCCCTTTCAGAATCATCTTTTCCGCTTCACTTGATGCCCCAGGTCCCTCTTGTCCTAAAGGAAAGTGGATGGGAAGAACTCACTTACACTACGGGATGAGGAAATGCTCAACCCAAGAAGTGAATTCCTAGTGGGGAGACCTATGAGGTCTGCGAAGGAAGGTACGTTGGGGCTCAGGGGTTTCCTCATCCCCCTCACAACCTAAGCCTGGCTCTGAGTTTAACGAACATGTTATGTGGTAAATGTGAAAGAGCTGACAGAAAGGAATTTTCCTAATACTACTTCATCTGCTACCAAATTTTTGAGTCAAGTTTTTTTAAAAAAATCTATAGAATTGTTTTATGCCATCTGTATGCTTTCTCCTTTCTCCTCTTATTTTGTTATTTTTCCTTCTTCCTCAATTTTAGGATGTTCTGCTAAATCAAACTTGTCTGTTTTTAAAAGAATGAATGAACCTATAAAGAAAAATTCCTTCCCTTAGAAAGCTAACAGCAATGTGCCATTGAGTTGTTTCACTAACACGTGGGGGAAAATGTGTGCGTATGTGCATGTGCGCATACATTTGTTGTGAGGTGTTTGCACAGGCGTGTGTGTGTGTGTGTGTGTGTGTGTGTGTGTGTGTGTTGGGGATTTGCTGGTATAATGGCATAAATATTAAGTCTTAAAATTAACAGGGGATTATGTATGTCTTTACAATCAACCTAATTTCAAATAAAACAGCACATGAAATTGCCATCATTTATAAAATATATGGCAATAAAATAAAAACTTGGCATAAGTATGACATATTAACTAAGCAAATGTAATTAACAAAAATTAGAATAAAATAATCATTAGAGTTAAATATTTATATGGCATTTCCATAATGAAAAGTGCTAAATCACTGCAAATTCATCTCATAGCATCCCTTCCAGGTTATTAAGCAATGAATATTGTGTTTACCAACACTTCATTTATACAGGGATCATGTTTCCTGAATCAGAGATTGAGGGGGCCCTGTAGTTGGAGAAGTATGAGCATATGTGTTGAGACAATGGGGCAGAGAATTTGAAATTAATGTCATATTGGATAATCTGATTTGCTGCATTCAGACTGCTGCCCAACCCTTTCTTTATTTAAAAAAGTGTACCCATCAAAAAGAAATGCAATCACAAAGCTTTCACTAATAGGCTTGCTGGCCTGGCTGGTGTGGTTCAGTGGTTGAGCGTTGATCCATAAACCAGGGAGTCATGGTCCGATTCCCCTTCAGAGCACATGCCCAGGTTGCGGACTTGATCTCTAGTAGGGTGTGTGCAGGAGGCAGCCAATCAATGATTCTCATCATTGATGTTTCTCTCTCTCCCTCTCCCTTCCTCTCTCTAAAATCAGTAAAAACATATTTTAAAAAAATAGGCTTGCAGCATGACTCTAGGTTACAATGGGCAGCATCCCACTGTGCGCAATAAAACGGAGTTTCCCGCATTTGCTCATCTCGGGGGCCCATGCCTGGGCAGAAGGTGCACTCCACTCCCCTTTTTCCTAGATGGGTGTGGGGGCCAAAGAGCTTCCCAATGTTAAGCTTCTGAGAAATCAAATGTAATTTAGCATCTCGGCCCATCACTCTCCTGCCTCTGTCCCTGCATTTAGAGGAAGAAGTTAAGCACCCTCCCAAGTTCATTAACTCAGTCGTCAGCATGAGAAGCAGGGTTCATGGGGAAACCCGCCATACTTGGGGCCTGCCAGAAGCCCCTGAAGATCAGGTTATTTTCAGCTTGACGGACAGACGCACAGATGTGAGACCTGCAGATGGGAAATCTGCCAGAATTAAGTGCAGCACAGGAGAGAGTCACCGCAGTGACCCAGCAGATGGCACGAAGCGTGCGACTGAGCTCCCGGACCAGTGCTTCCAAAATCCGTTCTAGAAAGAAAACCTTGGCCATGTGCTCTTGTGAAAAAGCAAAGGGAGAGCTTCCGTTTTCTTCCTTTTTTCTTTAAAGAGGAGAACTTCATGATACACCAGAAAATCAAGACCAAGGAGTTCTTTTCTCTGTTGAATGTTTCATCTGAACATTCCCTGGGACAGAGATGCCACCATTTAAATCAGTGGTTCTCAACCTTCTGGCCCTTTAAATACAGTTCCTCATGTTGTGACCCAACCATAAAATTATTTTCGTTGCTACTTCATAACCGTAACGTTGCTACTGTTATGAATCATAATGTAAATATCTGATATGCAGGATGGTCTTAGGCGACCCCTGTGAAAGGGTTGTTCGACCGCCAAAGGGGTTGCGACCCACAGGTTGAGAACCGCTGATTTAAATGTTTGAAACAACATTAATCATTATTAATATTTTCAAATGCTGTTCTGACAAACGCATTCAAGTGGATTATAAAATAAGCATTAAAATTAAATATTTATGTGGCACTTCCATAATGAAAAGTGCTACAACACTGCAAACTCATTCTCACATCTCTTCCATGTTATAGTTTCTACAGTGTTGAGTGACTTTATTGATTTCGGGAATACAAGCCTCCTTCTATTGGCCATCAGAAGAAAACTGGATTTAGATGGCACACATTTGTTCCACTGGAAATTCTGTGGGGAGATCATTATTCCATTAAGTGGTGGCGACTTCCCTGGAAGTTTATAGACTTCCATGGCAAACCTCTAACTTCTTGGAAGTCTGGTTTCCAGCAATAGTAACCATCTGGAATGCACCTGAGTATCTGGTAGTAAAAAAAAGAAAAAGATTTCTGTAGCCAAAAGAAATTATTTTGGAAGAGCTGTGTCCTCTCATTTTGGACATGAACTGAATCGACACCGGGCATATCGACCCCAGCAGATGGGAAGTAGCACGTTAAACGGAGGGTTGGAACAGAGGGCCTGGAGTGGCCGCTCCTTCAAGACCGTCTCCTTCTCCGGCCCCACCTTGCTTGTACACCTGCCCGCTAGATGGTGGCGTCCCTGGGCTGTGTCTGGGCCCTTTGCTCTGCTCAGGCCACGAGTCTTTTGGGGGAACCCCATCCACTTGTGGCTCCAGCTTCCACCTACCTTCCCGTGTGGTCAGATCTGCACCTCCAGCTCTGCTGAGATGTCACCTGGGACTCCTCACCTGGGTGTCCCACAGGTAATCCAACTCCCCACATCCATATCACCCCCTTCCCAATCCTGCTCCTCCCATCGCCCTTGGGACTGGCAGCTCCATCCACACACAGACCTTAGAGTCATTCTCTCCTCCTCCCCGCCCTCCCTCCTCCCGGCCTCTTCAAGCTCACAAGCCTTTGCCCCTCTTCTCCACGCTCGTTGCCATGATCTGAGTTAAGTCTCTCTTCTCTTCCGGCCCAGAAAACAGTAGTGACTGTTGAAATGGTTTCCCTGTCCCCGTTTTGTCCTCCTCCAGATCCATGCCAACAGGGCCATCACTAGGCCAAAGGCGCCTTTGTGCAAATTAGAAAAAGATGCCTCTTCCTCCAGACACCGTACTGCCCTGATTTCATCTGAACAAGACCCTTTACTGCCATCTGCTGGACATGCTCATAGTAAAGAGAGTTATCTGAGGGCCACGCTGTGAATGGCACGCCCTTAAACGTGTGTCCTTGCGCAGTGTACAATCTGCACAACCACGCGTGTGGCTCTGGCTGCCCACGTGAGCTCTTCAAAACACAAATGTAATAAGTGAGAATCATTAGGTAAAAATGCTTGGTGTTAAACCGATAGACCCAACTGCCTGGAAATGATGTGTAAATGATGAGTTCCTATGTCACACAATGATTTCAGGAGGTGCCCTGAAATTTAACCCTGCTTTGAGACTTCTTTGTCCTCTCAGTTAAAAATATTTTATAAAACATTTTCTCAACATAAAAAAGGTAAATTATTTATTCTCAATAGCTCATCGTGGTCCTCAATGGCCTGCTCCCCACTCCATCTCATTCCCATCACCAACCCCCCGCCCTGCCATTTCCCAGCTTGTTCCTGGTACACGGAACTTCCTCTAGTTCCTGGAAGTGCTACATACTTCCTCTAACCTTCATCCTTTTTCCTCCCCAACCCGACAATCTCCCCCTGCGCAACCCCTCCCATCTGAATCTGGTAACTCCTACTAATTCCCAACTCTATTGCCCGTCAGATCATTTGGGGGAGCTTTGAGAAACCCTGATGCCCAGAACATACCCCAGAATTTCTGGGGGTGAGACCCAGGCATCAGGAAAGGAGAGGGATAGAGAGATGGAAACACTGATGAAAGAGGAAACATCATTGATTGGCCGCCTCCTACATGTGCTCCACTGGGGATAGAACCCTGACCGGGAATTGAACCCTGACCTCCTGGTTCACGGGTCTATGCTCAATCACTGAGCACCACGGGCCAGGATCACCTTCTCCATTTGACGGAGGAAGATGCTGGATGCTGGGACTGGCTGGAGAGAAGGGGTGGATATTAATGGCTACGCTATCCTTCTAGGACCTAGGTGCTCATCCTCTCTTCTGTTTCATGTGCAACTCATGAGCAAGTCCTGTTGGCTTTGCCTTCAAAATATATCAGTACTCTCCTCTTCCTTGGTGTCTTCACTGCCCACTCACTGGGTCTCTGTCATAGCCTTCCAGCTGCTTCTCCTGCTTCCACCCTGTACCCCTCCCCCAGGATCAGATCACTCCCGCCTCTGCTCCAAACCCTGCAGAGCTGCTATTGCTAGCTCTTATCCCCACCCCTCCCCCAATTCCAGCCCCTTCTCCCTTGGGCCTCATTTAAAGTCCAAGCCCCGCCCCCAGTTGTAGCCCTCTGGCCCCACTGCTGTTCCCCCAACACTCTCAGCACCTGCCTTCCCCCAGGCTAGGGTGTCCAGCCCCAGACATCTGCAGGCCCACTCCCTGGTTTCCTTCAGATGGGCCTTGTGGGGTGGCTCTATTTACGACTCCCCTCCCCTTCCCTTTTCTGGAACACCCTATCAGTAGTATCCACTTTATTTGTCACCCAGCACTTAGCACGCCTGATGCAGCACACCCTCCACTTGTTTGCTTGCTCCTTCCTCGGGAATGCATTCTGCTGGAGGGAGGGATTCCTGCCTGTCCTGGTCTAGGCTCTATCCTCAGCATCCACAACACCTGGCCCACAGGAGGTGCTCAATAACTGTTTGTGAGTGAATGGAAGAGTGAGAACTCCATTCATGAGAAACAGAAGGACGCTCTACTCTGGGAGGTACTATAAGTCCTTAAAGACTGCTGGCTCAAAGTCACAGTGTGACTGCTGTGGAGGCTGGGGCTCTAATCCAAGACACATGAAAAACCCTAGCAACGGTCCAATTCCATGACCAGAGAGCAGCCTGAGGACTTAGTGTGTGTACTGACAAGCAATGCTTAACAGACATTGGTTGAATAAATGGGAAAATGTAAGCTTTTATCTGAACCAAAGATGCACAGAGATGCCCATTTGTGTTATGCACGAAGTGTGACTTCTGCCAAGTGGAGACATAGAAAGTACTTAATTACTTTGATTATACACACATTATATTGGGTCACGGTGGTGTAGCGGAAAGTGCACAGCTTGGGATCGGAGGGTCTCAGGGAAGCCCAGCTCTTGCTGGGAGGCTGTGGGATCTCTGGGTCACCCAAGTGGTTTCCAGTTTGGTGGGTGACATGAGTTTAACAAGTTGTTTTAAAGTTTCATTCATCTTTCTCGAAGCCAGCATCCCAGAGCCAGCAGGTTTTCCCATCAGGCTTCTGGGTTGTACCCGAGACCCAGGAAATCAGGCCACCGGGAGGGGTGCATTTTGAACAAGCATCCCCCACGCCTGTGGGCCTGCTGCTGAGACGGGCTACCACCTTGCTCCTCTGAGCAGTCCTGGAACCAGCAGCATGGGCATCACCTGGGAGCTCGTTAGGAAGGCGAAGCCTCAGGCACCACCCCGGCCCTTGTCAACAAGATCCCCGGTGATCCCACCTTGAACAGCACTGCTCTATCTCCCTGTACTCAGAGACCTTCAGAGCCCTCCAGCCCTCTCCCACCTCCTGAAGGATCCTCCTGGAAAACCTTTAGCCCCAGAGGGCTTTCATTGCACAGTAAGGGACAGGCTCGTGGTGCTGCGGTCGGTGTGTCCGACAGAAGGTCAGGGGGAGAAGTTTCCACGAAGGGATCAAGGCAAACCTTTCATCGGTAACGGTGCTCGGTGAGCAATGGGGACCAGGAGGGCAGAACAGGACCGTACATTTAAGGAGGAAGAGACTGCGCTTGAGGGAGAAGCAGGAGGGGAAGAGGGACCTGGGAGAGAAACTGGGTCCAGCCCTGCCTGCCTGGGGGTTTTCATGCTGTGGCTGCAAGGGGCTCAGCTTCCAGGTAGGTGGTTTGGGGAAGTTTGCTTTTCTCCCTGGTGGACTTTCCAAAGGATCTGGTGTCTAGGGAATCCCCATGGGCAGAGTCCAAGACATTATTGCCAATGGCTAAGAGGGCCCCTTCAATGAACTAACCACACTTATTTATATAGATTTGTATTTTTATATATCTTAAAAATTAAAAAAATTAAAATTGATTTCAGAGAGGGGAAAAGGAGAGGGAGATAGAAACATTAATGACAAAAGAGAATCATTGATCAGTTGCTTCCTGCATGTCCCCTACTGGGGATCAAGAATGCAACCCGGGCGTGTGCCCTGGCCGGAATTGAACTGTGACCTCCTGTTCCAACCCACTGAGCCACACTGGCCGGCTATATATATTTTAAAGCCTCCTTGAAATTGTGAAGTATATCTTCTGTTTACGACATAGGAGTACAATAACAACAACGAAGTAGAAAGTTCTCAAATATATAAAGAACCCATACAGCAAAACTCTCATCTCTTAGTAAAAAAGTAATTTTAACAACCAATACGGGAAACGATTTCCTACATAACCACTGTAGACAGAGAACCACCTCTGTAAAGGAGCAAAATTAGAATGTTGGCTTCATGGAACCAACTGAAGATGCCTTTGATGCTCTGGTCAATGTTATTTATGGACATCGAGTCCTAGTTTTATGCCCCGGAGAACCGATGCTTAATGAGGGCTTTCTGTAAAGTGAAGACCCCCTTTCATAAAACAAATAGCACCCCCTTCCTCCCGTAGCTTCTCTTCTTTGGGAACCTAGATTCTCACACATTGCATTTGCCTACGCAAGACACACCTTCTTCAGGGCTGGGCTGGAAAAACCACTTTTCTGTGGGTTCTCTGCCTCCCGTGCTGATCATCTGTCCGTCTTGTGCCCTTTCCTCTCCCCTAGAGCCTGCACAAACTGACCAGCAAGCAGGCACGCCCCAACCCAGCTGCCACCCACAGCAGCCTTGAGACAGCACCCTCCCGGCCTGTGTGAGGGGCCGAGCGGATTACCGGCCCCCCGAGGCACCTTACCCGCCAGGTACTCGATGACTGCCGCCATGTACACGGGAGCACCCACGCTGATCCGGTACTTGAACGTCCCTTTCTTCAGGTAGCGCATCAGCCTCCCCACCGGGAAGATGACCCCGGCCCTGGCTGAACGGGACAGCTTGGACATTTTCTTCTTCCCGCTCCGGCCCGACATCTTGCCTCAGTTTCCCTCTCAGCTTGCTGACACAGTGGCTTCCTGGCGCTAGCACAATGCTGGAAAGGAAAGAAAGCAGGGTGAGGAAGGGCGGCTGGAGAACATCTTGGGAACAGTGAGTGGTCCTAGAGCACTAGGTGACGTGCAGGACAGTCCGGGAGGTGGCTGAGACGGCTGCCACCGCAGGGTGCTGCAGGCAGGCCACCAGCAGGCCCACCCACAAACCTCTCCCACCCCATCATGCCAGCCCAACCTCAATACGAGAGGCCAAAGACTGTCACCAGAGAGAGGCCAAGGCCTTTCAATCAGCAAATAATGGTTCCCAACGACGTCCACTTCGTCACCCCCAGACCATTTGGGATGTGTCGCCTTATATGGCAGAAGGGACTCTGCAGATGGGATTCAGTTCAGGGTCCTGAGCTGGGGAGCGTATCCTGGATGGTCTGGGCAGGTCTAATGGAATTGCAAAGGTTCTTCCACGAGGGGGGCAGGAGATGAGAGTGAGGAGCGATATGAATGAAGGGAACGAATTCTCCCCTCAGAGCCTGCAGAAAGGACCAGACCTGCCGACGCCATTTTATTTTAATTTTTAAAAATATTTTTTTATTGATTTCAGACAGGAAGGGAGAGGGAGAGAGTAGAAACATCAACGATGAGAGAGAATCATTGATTGGCTGCCTCCTGGCCCCCTACTGGGGATCGAGCACGAAACCTGGGCATGTGCCCTTGACCGGAATTGAACCTGGGACTCTTCAGTCTGCAGGCTGATGCTCTATCCGCTGAGCCAAGCCGGCTGAGGCTGCCAGTGCCATTTTAGCCCAGTATAAGGGCTTCTGACCTCCAGACTGTGAGAGAGTAAGTCTGTCTTGCTCTAAGCCACTAAATCTGAGGGTGATTTGTTACAGCAGCAATAACTAAACTCACACAGTCCTCTTTTCTCCGACTTGCTTCGGCCTGCATTAATACATTAGTACAGTGGGGCCTTCACTTATGAGTTTAATTCCTTCCGAGACCGACCTCATTAAGGAGCTCGTTAACTCAAATTATCAACTCAATGCAAAAAATCGGCTGAGAGACAGCTGGTATCTCAAAAAACTCGTTAGTCGGGACACTCGTAAGTCAAGGCCCCACTGTATTTTATTCATAGCTTTGACCTACAGCTCATGGCTGATTTCCAATAATTTTTAAAAACCGAAACATGCCAGGAGAGGCCACTGTATTGGATATATTTAATGCAAAGTAACCAAACACCGCAAATGAAAAGTGAGAATGCAGCCCAAGCTTCTGTTCCCTGGAATTTGGGAGAAACTTCA